ATGTTATTAAAATTAATTGTTAACTTTGATTTATATTAAAATTTAAATTACAATCAATACAAAACATGACTATAAAAAAATCTCAAAAGTTGGGGGCACATGACCCCCCCTCCCCCGGGTCCGCCCCTGCATGTACTCCCACCCATTTCCACTTCATACTCTTCATCGAAAATCAAAGTAATGTCATAATCATTATCATCAAAATCCATAAATTCAAGCTTTGATTGATATTATTGATGGATTTGGAGAGGATAAGTTTTACAAATGTGAATAATCAATTAAATGTTTTGTAAATTTTTGTTTCAGAATCTACATTTGAGAGTTCATTAAAAAAAAGTATTTTATTGTTTTGCCGGAATACATTGATTATATTGACCTCCTTCAATATTATAATTATATATGTAATATTATTAATGAAGCAGTTTTAGCATCATCAGAATGCTGCGACATAAACTTCACCTTCTACTTCACGACGATATTCTGGTCCAACCATTCTCTTTCCTTAACCTTTGCGAATCGGAAACCTTGTTATGTCAACATTGGAGTTATGGTCATGGGCCTTGAGAGATGGAGAGCTGGAGATTATACAACAGAAATAGTGGAATGTATGGAGCTGCAGAAGACAAAAAGGATTTATGAACTCGGTTCTTTGCCACGTTTCTTGCTTGTTTTCGTCGGAAAGATAGTTTCAGCGACGGAAGGGAAGGTTTTTGTAGAAGAGAATGAGGCTAGTCTTTTTTACATTTAAAGATTAAATCCTTAAACTTCAAATATCTTAGGGTCCGTTTGATTGCAATGGTGGAAAATAGATGGAAAGAAAATGAATTTCAGGGAAAGTAATTGTCAAGACCAAATATGCACAAAATGAATTACATGGAAAGAAAATGAATTCTAGAGAAAATGATTGATTCACTCACTCAAATACTAAATCCAAGACCAAATATGCACAAAATTTGAAATAAATTAAGTTCTTCGCATAAATGAATGCTATCATGTTATTATCAAATTTGGAAGAAAATTAATTATTGATTTTGACTTAAGCCCTGTTTGGGGCACATTTTTAATCCAACAAAATGAAAAATATAGTCGTTCGAAATGAAAAGGCAGCCACTTTTTTTTTTACCTTCATCTCACAAGTGGGACCCAAATTTGACAACTACTTAAATTGTTATCAACTTTTTTATCTATTCTGAATCGAGGGACTTATTTTGCTTATAAGAAATAGATAAATAAAAATAATGGTTTGTGTTTTAGCATTTTCATAAGTTACTTGTTATTTATTTTTAAGCTTAACCAAGCTTAAAGTCCCAAAACAATTTATCTTCATTTTCCCTTTTTCCTATTTTAATAAATTATCCTCCAAGAATTTAAGCTGCCAACTTATCTCTTATTTATTCACTCTTCAATTCCCTTCAACACTGTGCTCGCCTACAATTGAAATATAG